GAAGAACATGATCTTGATCTGGAAACCAAGATGCCTAAATGCATGGCAAATGCCTCCTTTTATAGGCCAAAATTGGGAACCATTGATTTGATGACTAATTGATAAGTGGGTGGCCAACTTTTGACTTGGTGACAATCCTTATCTTCTCTTGTCTGCCCAAAACGTCATTGATAACGTCAAAATTGGAGCCAGTTGTAAACATGAAAGTTGTAGACAATTATCTCAGCTTTCTTGTGTAAACAATTCAGCTCATTTGGACTTCTAGAACTTCAGATATGGCCAAAATACCGAACAGTGCTCGGGGTGGAAGACAGATTCGGGCTTCTTTGTTGTTGCTACAATTTGGACTTGATAATGGCCTTTTTAGATCTTGGGCTACATATGAAAGTTGTAGGCCTATATCTTACCTTTCCATCCATATAAATTGGACCTAAATCTGAGATCTGTAGCTCCAGATATAACCCAATTACCGAACAGTGTTCAGGTTTGGATTGCACCGACATCTCTTCTCTAAGTTTGACCATCTCTTTATCCATGCAATTTAAGTTCTTCAAGTCATCAATCAATCCTTTCATTTATGTGATAGACCTGCATTAAAAATAGACATTTACCACAAATTATAGGTATCTTATATTATTAGATACATTATTATAAAACATATTTTAGTTAAGGAGTTATTGATACTTCAAGTGCAAAATGATGATATAAAACCATGATAAAAATGCACTTTTAAGTACTAATCAATACCCTATAAGGTCTATCACTTAAAGTACGTGACCAAACTCCCATGTATGTGTAGAAAGATAATAAAATAAAGAAAATAAAAAAATAGAGAAAGAAACAAAACAAAGGAAACAAAAGTTAGATAAAAAAAAAAGTGAAAAGAGAAAATAAAATAAATATTATAATTTATGCAAGAATTTACCTCATCGTCAACGGCACCAAAAACTTGACACGACCAAAAAATTGATGTTTTTTTCCAATTGCAGGAGTGTTAAAGTAATAAATAACTTGGCAAGACCAGAGTTAAACGATATAGAGGTTAACTATATAAATTATAAATAACAACAACAACAACAAGAGTTTGAGATGTAAGATTAATGTGAGAATTAAACAATGATAAAAATAAATGTCAATGTTACAGAATCCACTAATGATATTTCAAACAAATATAGTATAAACTCTTTTTATTATTCAACTAGAAACAACACACAAAGAAGGTTCCAATCAGATCATTTGTCTTAATATAACCATATTAATTATCTTATTTAAGTAACACCAAACTTTTAAATATTGTTAAGAATTCATGTTGCTAACTTATGTTAACAACAAATCAAGTTCCTTTCATAGTACAAATATAGGTTATACCATACAGTTGGGTTATGAAAGTGTCAAGCATTTGATGTACCAAATTTTATATAACACAAATCTAGATTAACCATTTAACAAGCAAGGTAGTGAGAATTAATAAGATAAAAATGATAAGATATGTTAATAGCAAGTTGTTTAGAATATAAATATTGAAGTCCACATTAAGTTTATATTATACTTATTCTTACACCATTGGTATAACATTTTCACCTTAATATAATAAACTTAACTAAACATAATGAAGAAGAAAAACATAAATAAACAAGATAAGAATATAAATAAGATATAAGTTAACTAAGTAAAGGAAAAGAAATAAAAAAAAACATAAATAGGATATTAATGAAAATAAAACTTGAACATAATATAAAGAAAGTATGAACATGATTTTGATCTGAAAACCAAAATGTCTAGATGCATGGCAAATGCCTCCTTTTACAGGCTAAAATTTAAAACTATTGATTTGTTGACTAATTGTTGAGTAGGTGGTCACATCTTAACTTAATGATAATCTTTATCTTCTTGTCTGAATAAAATATCATTTCTAACATCAGAATTTGAACAGACTTTCCACATGAAAATTCTAGAAAATTATCTCAGCTTTCCAACAAAACAAATGAGGTCATTTAAACTTCAAGAACTTGAGATATGGGCTAAACACTAAATAGTATCTGGGTTGTAAGACAAATTCAAACTTCTTTTTTGATGCTAAGATTTGGACTTCCAAATGGCAAAATTGAGTTTTGGATAATCATGAATGTTTTAGGTCTATGTCTTAGCTTTCTAGCCATAAAAACCAAACTTAAATCCAAGATCTACAATTCTAGATATAACTCAATAACTGAATAATGTTCCAGTCTAGATTAAACCAACATCTCTTTTCTAAGTTTAGCTCTCTCTTTGTCTTCTTAATTTCAGTAGTTAAACTCATTAATTAATCATTTTATTTATGTGATAGGCCTGCATTTAATATGAATATTTACCATAAATTAAAAGTATCTTATAATATTGGACATGATATTATAAAATATGCTCTAGTTAAGGAGTTATTGATATTTTAAGTGCAAAATGATGACCTAAAACCTTGATAAAAATGCACTTTTAAGTACTAATAAGTAAATAACTTTGTAAAGAGAAATATGAAATGATATTTTAAAGAGATATACTCTGAAAATATGTATGAAAAAAAAGTTAAAAATGAAAAGATTGTGAACTTGAAGTTTGAAGGATTCATGAAATATTTATAGCCTATGAATCTTTTTCTTTTATGAAGAGAAGAGGTTGAACACAAATGACACATGCAACTTGCGAGTTGCAAGTTTCATAAGCAACCTTCTCAAAGTGTAAAATGGCCTCTAAGAAATTACAATAAGGAAAAAAGAGAAACAAAAAAATAGACTTTTGAGGCATACCGAAACTCCAATGAGGATAACACAGGTATCATAAAAAGATCTCAATAAGAGGAATCTAACAACATCAAGAAAAATCATCAATGGTGAGCATAGTAGGCCACACCAGCCACCGAAAGAATAATGAACATTTCTATTTTTAGGTGGCTCATGCGGCACACTTTGTCACCATCAATGACCTTTCTTTATGTATTTGAATTTATCTTATTAAGATCTTTCTGATAGTATCGGTGATCTTCTTATTGGAGTTTTAATGTGTCTCCACGATCTTTTTATTTTTTTCTTACTTTTTTTTCTCTCTTCACAAATTACAAGGAGGTTAGAGAAGAGAAAGAAAATTAAAAAAAAAAAGAGAAAACGAAATAAAACTAGGAGACATACCAATAACGACACCACTAGTACTATAAGAAAGATTTCGATAATAGAAAGTCATCAACACCAAGTAAGGTTACCAACGGTGACTAAGGTAGGCACATAAACTACCTTAAGTTTAGTGAATCCCTACATTTAGATAATTTATGTGACTCATTCTGTTTATTATTAGTTTCTTAGTGTCATTGGATTAACCTCATTAATATCTTTTTTATGATACCAGTATTATCTTCATTAGAATTTCAGTATATCTTTAATATTTTTTTTCTCTCTCTGTCCTCTCTTATTTATTGTAAATTTTGCCAAGTCATTTTACAATTTGATAGAGCTACTATTAACACTAGCAACTCATAAGTCACATATATTATTCAAGACTTGTTAAATATGTTATTTTTCTAAATATTATTATGTTAAATTCCAAAAAAAAAACTTCATTACCTGTATATAAAGACTTAACTCCTCTTTAACAAAAAATATATTACCTTTAAATCTCTATTTTTTCACCACAATGTTAATTTAAAAGAGTTTTAGCTATGCGATAGTTTCAATATTAATTTAATTTTTAATATTTTTTAATGATTTTAATATGTCAATATTAAAAAATTAAAAAAAAATTAAAACTATATTTTTCAAACAAAATATACTTTTAAAATACATTTCACACTATAATATCAAATACACGTATTAAAAGTTCTTCACACTTGTAAAGTCTATTTTCTTCCACGACATTGCTGACTTAAATTTTTTTAAGTGCAGCAATGCATTTAACATTTTAATCTATTTATTAGCTTTGGAAATATTTTCATGTACGGAGTTAATTTTTCATTTAATCTGATCAGTACTTTTCCTCGTAAAGCAAACAAAAGGTACAAAGTAAATAGATGAAAAATTACATCTTTCATAACCACATTTAGAGTGTCTTTGGTGCTGCAATGATAATTTTTAAAAAATATATATTTTTATAAATTTATTAAAATAATATATATACATATATATATATATTATTTTTAAAAAATTATTAATAAAATCAAGGAATCAAAACAATGTGAAAAAAATTAATTTAAAGAAAAAAATTAAAAAATAAAATAAAATACAAAAACCCAACAGACGATTAACCAAAATCATGCTTTAGAATCATTCAATCAACAAGACTGATGGGTTATGGTTGAGATATTGGGTTTTCTCCAAAGAAATAGCAACGGAACTTGATGGAAAAAATCTCCTGCTGGACGAGCGTGATGGGTGAGCATCTTCGACCACCTTCACTGTACACTTTGAAGAGAATGGGGTCCTTGATGGATTTCAATCTTGACACGTGTCCAAGATCATAGACTTTGATGTCCAGATATTCCATCAAGTACCGACGACCGGGACATGTGGGTCCAAGACGTCTACGTCAACAGCTGTTAACGTAACCCATTTTGATTGGGCCAGAAGAGCAGGAAGGAATAAAGTCGGGATTTTAAAGGCACTGGCTTCAATCTCGTATTCTACGATGTAGACACGTGTTTCCAACCTCTCATCCAAATTTTTCAACATTTGAGAGTTTAAAGTTGAAAATACCGAAAAGGTCATTTCCAAGGACCCCATGCGTGTCAGGAAAGCTAGTACCTACTACGGTCGTGTTCAGACATCATTGGGCCACATAGCTATACTTTTTTTATCGTTGACGAGGAGGTTAGATCAAACGGTGGATATGAGTTTGATGTGATGTTTTGTATTGCAGTTTAATTGTATTTTTAAGATTTTTTTTAATTTTTATATTATTTTCATGTAAAAATATAAAAATAATTTTATAAAATATAAAAATATATTTTTCTTTTAAAAAAATCTGGCGCATTTCCAATCAGTCCACATCTAAGCCACGCCACAAATACTTGCCGCTTTGCCCGTGACGGTGATGGGCAGGCTACCCGTGGCAACCATGCTCAGAGCTGCCCAAGACATGCCTTTGTGCTTTTAAAGCTCTCGCTCAAGCGCGCGAACGCTCTCATCTATCTCTGCAGTATTTCTCTTTCCCAATTTCAATCCCGTAACGCCACATAAAAAAAAACAGATAGAAAACTAATTAACGAAGAGGAGGTATGGAATGAAGTTAAATTAGTGCTGAAGATTTTGTGGTAGGAGTGATAATTTAGTGTTATATCAATGGCCGAGATTTACCGTGGAGTAGTGAGTGAGAATGAGGCATCGTCAACGTCATGTGAGCCAAGTTCAAGAATAGCTAGACGGAGAAGAATGGAGATTAGACGGCTCAGATTCGTGGCAGGAGTGGCCTCAACGGAGACTGAAGCTGATGACATGGGCACCCATAAAAAGCACAAACTGCAAGTTTACAGTAGTACTCGTAATGGTAGTAATATTAGCCCGTGTTCTCGTGACTGTCAGAACGCGGTGGAGAACTGTGGTGCTGAACACCCAGATGAAAATAAACCGTTTGAGAAAGGGAAATCATCAGAGAACATAATTGCGAGGCAATACTCTTTGAATCTAACTTCGAGTCCATCAATTTTATCAACATCTTTAATCGATCCAGATCAGTTGTTTCCAAAATTCGGGGTGACTTCGGTTTGTGGAAGGAGAAGAGACATGGAAGATGCGGTAGCGATTCACCCTTCATTCTGTCGGAAAGACCAGGAAACCACAACTGAGTTGCACTTATTTGGTGTCTACGATGGCCACGGTTGTTCTCATGTACGGTTTCCAAAAATCAAACAGCTACTAGATTTTGTTTAATTTGGTTTTCTTTTTTTGGGACAATCAAATGAAATGTGAACTCATTTTAGTTTCTGTCTCTGTGTCTGTGTAGGTGGCAGTAAAGTGTAAGGAGAGATTGCATGAGCTGGTGAAAGAGGAGTTGGGGGGGATCAAGGAGGGGTGGAAAAGCGCAATGGAAAGAAGCTTTCGGCGGATGGACAAGGAAGTAATAGCGTGGAATCAAGGGGTGGAGGTTCGTGCGAATTGCAAGTGTGAGATGCAAACTCCAGAATGTGATGCTGTTGGGTCTGCCGCTGTTGTTGCAGTTGTATCTCCTGACAAAATCGTTGTCGCTAATTGTGGGGATTCAAGAGCTGTCTTGTGTCGTAATGGGAAACCACTGCCTTTGTATTCCGATCACAAGGTTTGCGATTAATATCCACATCAATCACATTTCGCGTTATTTCTGGTAACTTTCCAGCTTAAAAACTCACCCGATCTCCTCTTTATTCGTGACAACAGCCTGACCGTCCAGACGAGCTTAACCGGATCGAAAACGCTGGCGGCCGCGTCATCTATTGGGACGGCCCAAGGGTTCTTGGAGTTCTGGCCATGTCAAGAGCCATAGGTAAATATAATAGCAAGACCCGATTGCTCAGTTAAAAGCTGAAACCATGAACTGAACTGACACTACCATTTTCTGATCGAACCACAGGTGATAACTATCTAAAGCCATACGTTAGTTGCGAGCCAGAGGTAACAATAATGGATCGAACGGCAGAGGATGATTGCTTGATAATAGCAAGCGATGGTCTTTGGGACGTGGTCTCCAACGAGACAGCATGTGCGGTGGCGCGTGCCTGTTTGAGAGTGAAAGAGCACGCGCCGACTCCATGTTCTCCTAGACTGGTGGAGAACAATGAGGCTGTGGGGATCCCCGCCGGCAGCGGCGGAAGTGGGGAAATGTCGGACAAAGCGTGCTCTGAGGCATCAATGTTACTGACGAAGATGGCGCTGGCCAGGCATAGTACCGACAATGTGAGCGTTGTCGTGGTGAATTTAAGGAAAGACACGTAGCAAAGCAACCTATTACACGAATCTTATCATCTCCTCCTCCGATTCTCCCCTCTTTTTTTCAGAGGGCTGGGTGACAAGGTCCCGATAAGGTGCTTCGCTATGTGAGGAGGAAAATGGGAGTAGAAACACAGCAACTGATTAAAAAAAAAAAAATCAGGACACCAGGCTGTATTTTTTTTTTTTTTTCCCGTTCTAGATGAAATCTTTTGCCATGAGGTTCCAGATGTTGTCCTCAATATTTATGTGGTTGTACGGATATCATCCCTTTCCTTTCTCCGGTGCATTTGGAATGAATTTCTCGTTGCATCGTCATCTTTTTTTTTTAATAAACTCACATTATGGGGTCAGTTTAAAGTATTTTGATTATGTTATGAAATTTAAAATTTAAATTGATAATATTTAAAAGACAAACTCAAAAATCTAACTATTTGAATTATCTCTTAGAAGTAGCATTATTCTTTCTTGGGGCCAAAGCAGCTGCCGGTGGCCTTGAACTGCTCAAAATAAACCTTCAACTCGGGGAAAGGAAATGGACATACCCTCTGGAGAGGATGGATGGTACACAGGAGATTTACCCATTAGTGAGCAGTGCTAGAGATAAAATTTAGTGGACTTTTTTCTGTTCCCATTATTGTTTCTTTACTTGCCCCTGGATGTTTTGGCTTAATTTACGTTTACACTAATCTAAAAAGATTCATGCTAATCGAGCACTGGACTCATTTTAGATCCAAACCTGATTTTTTTGTCTATTTTTTTTAATTTCTTTTATTTTTCCAAGTTCTTTTATTTTATTAAAAAAACTAAAATTAGATTTAAATAAATATTAGACAAGCATAGTTTTACCCTCAATGATCATAAATCTTAGGTATATTAGAGATTACTCTCAATGGTCGTAAATCTTATTAGGTATATTAAATCTTATCAGTTATATTAGAGATTACAGTAATGATTGTGATTTAAAATTTTTTTATTTTAAAATATATTAAAATAATAATTTTTTTATTTTTTAATATTAACTTATCAAAGCAATCTAAAAATATATATATATAAAAATAAAACTTAAAGAAAAATAGCTTACACTGCATTTCAAAACTCTAATACTCAATTCTAAAACCTTAACCAGATGGCTTGAAGACATACGAGAAAGAGTGGAACGAGGGAGAAAAACTCTTCTCATGGAGGCAACCTGATGGAAGGAGTCCATTCATATGCTAATGGGAAGAAAAGTAAGGAGGGAAATTGACAGATAGCAGGAAGAAGTGGCGTCCAAAGAAAGATGTAAAAGCCATGGGATAACTCAATGATTCTATGAAGAAAGGGAGCATAATTCTCATAAAAAAAATCTTGAAATGGGACCAAGAAGGATATGGAAGTCAAGAATACTTTAGTGGTCTTCGAAACCCAAAAGAAAAGAATGAGAGCATCCAATATCTTAAGCTCTAGGGCCCAAGTCATGGTACAGACATACAAGAATGCCCGTTGGGTGCAGGTGCAGATTGGAAAAAAGTTAACTCTTTTAGACAGCAGAAGGGTACCATCACTAAAAGTCTCCACAAAAATGAAAACAGGGAAAAGAACACAGCTATCTCGGAAAAATGATAGATACCTTGCGCCGCGATACATTCCATCTCTGTACTTCACATCCACGGGAACCATCTCAAAAGGCAATAAATTGTTAGGTTTAGCAGATGGGGAGGAGTTTTCCTGGAAATCATGGAGTGCCTATATATTCATGCAAACATCGCTTTCTGCTAAAGCGTAGCCAAAAGCCAACCACTAGAATAACAGCCCAGGCTGAGTAGTGCTGCTGCACTTAAATTAGGTTAAGCCAGAAAGGCTTGTATAATTTGGAAGAATCATACTTACTATCAGAGGTTTTTGAGAATATATCGATGCAGATCCATAAGTAAGATCCTACCAAGCCATGATGCCCAGTATACTTCGACCAGTCAACCAGCCTCCACTGCATTTATCCGCAGATAATGTGGACAGCAATAAACAAATAAAGGAATCGTGCATTGGCTCTCTCCAAAAAGTACATTTAAGTTGAAAGTGGACTTTCTTAATGTCAACTAAATTGACAGGCTTTGATTCAAGAGTCAAATCATGGCGACGCACAGGGGTGAAAAATGCATTTAGAAAATAGCCTACAGGGTATTGGGATCCAGAGAGGAAGAAGGATGCTTCTTAATAATTTGAAACAAAAAGGTTTAAATCGGGACAGCAACTCCATTTATGCAGGGAACAGATGAGCACAAAATGTCTAGAAAAAGCTTTCCACTGATTCAAAGTGTACTAACATGCTGCAACATGAGCAGCGACTTAACACAGAAGGTGGTTTGCACAAGAGAAATGCAGGGACACAACTTGTCAAAGATGCCCGCATATCAGGAACCCATATCTGATGTCAAGATAAAATAAAAGAATCTTCTCTACATTAGGTTTGCTTGCCGCCATTTTCCACTCCAGCATTCTTCAATGCTTGCAGCTTTCTGTAACCTTTATCGGTACCAAATACCCTGACAGTATAAAAGAGAAAAGGCCATTACATCATGTTCAGTTAGAAAATATGCTATTGTTTCCCACACCATAGAGGGTATGAAATTGGACATTTGGCTATTGTAAACAAGCCACGAACCATAGCATCGAAAGACGGCACCAGTTATGATTCTCACTTACATCACAAACAATCATAACAAATGACCATCCTCAGAAAGCAAGTTGCTGTTACAGAGCCAACACTATATAGTTTATGAATGCCACACTCTGCAAAATTCTCTCATCATTGTAACTGGTGGAGAACAATTGATGCAGGTGCAACAAGCATGACCAAGAACAATACAAGGAACAAGATTCCATCGAAGTAACCCACAGCCAAAGAGAAGCGAATTTTAAGTTAAACATTCTTTGCTAAAAGAAGTCTATGGCATCATTAAAACATCAGTTGATAAAAAATACTACTGGATACCTTATAGTACACACTAATATACTTGCTGAAGTTAAATCCTAGCACAGTTTATCACAGCTGAGACAACCCCCCTGCCCTTTCTATAGACTGAACTTTCTCACATTTATAAAGCACAAAAAGTCATCTAAAGTAAACAAGTTAAAATCAGTATAGTCAAAAACCCTACAGATACGGACCTAAAAGCCGTAACTTGAAAAGACTGGGTATTGCATGCAACCACTCCTGCAATTATGCAAACAAAAAAAGGGCACCACAACCCTATAAATTGGGACTTGTTTTGACACATGACTAGCGAGAAACCCCTGCTTCTGCAAGTCTTTGCATTACATTGCCCTGATATCCACATCAAGATAAAGGACAAGATTATGACCATAATTGCAAAAGGTACTCACAATGCCACGCTTAATGGTGCAAAAGCTGGAGAAAAACCTGTGCATCAACAAAGAGGTTTTGAAGGGCACATGAATGACTGGTTTGCTTATATCTTAGCAAAGATCACCTCAATGGATTTCAAATGGTATTTGCTAGTTCACAATGGGTTAGACTGAAATAATTTCAATTAACAACGATTCATGTGAAGTAGAGTAAGTCTCTGTAATGGAGAGCACCTTTTACAAGCTTATGACAACCTGGGATAGCTGGGATTGGTAAGATAATGTAAAAGCAAAGCAACCATAGAAACCCAGCTATGCAGATTCAGGGTGCTAACCAAATCCAGCCAGGAGATTGTTTGCAGAGTGAATACCCAGAAAAGGAGCAGAGTAGGCCTTTTAGCCTTTTAAGTGAACTTCAATGAGTCAACCACAAATGACTCAAGTAAAATGTTAGCATAGCTTACATTTTAAGGACATAACAGAAATAATAATGTTTTGCGAAGGTCAAACTCACCAGTCCATGTAAGTGAAAGTAGATGAGTAGTTTCCAGATTTAGTATACAGCAAGCGGTGATGGTAGTCATGAAAATCAGCACTAGAAAATTTTTTAAACAAATGTCAGAACCAATGATATAAATGTGGTGTAAATGATCATAAACCATACAGGTGTATTAAACACTCACCCTCCATACAAAGGTAAAAAATTGGAGAGGCTCCAGGGGAAATGATAACCACAATGTGCTTCAACTGTCTCCAGGACCCTTAGCACCATCCATAACCACAAAGTTACCAGATGGGGGCCTGTGATGGCAGGACCGACAATAGTAGCAAAACCAAGGAACAGTATCTCAGCAGGGTGAGCATATTCAGAAGTTAATCCAAATGGTGTAGCATATCTGCACATATAACAAGCACGTTAAAAACCATAAGTGCAACATAAAAGCACCTTGTAGATCTAGATGGTAAAAACTTTATGCCAGAGAGAACATTTAAGTCTCTCTACATACTCATGATGGATACTGTGCACATGCTTGTACAGCCATTTTGTATGTAAGAACCGGTGTCCCCAATAGAATATAAAATCTTCCAGGATGAAGTAGAATGTTATCTGCATTAGAATTACTTTCCTGCAGGAAAAAGAAAAAACATTATCTTTTAACTATGCTCCAGAAGTAATGGGAAATAGTATGCAGAGGAACCAGTGACATGTACTATATTCCAAAAATAAATAAAAGGATAGCTATATATCTCTTCGCAACTTTGTCTGGCTAAGAAAAGCTTTAGGATATAAAGAACCTGAAAATACCAGGACGGGAATGGAAGACTACTTTGCATGCCCATGTGTCTGAAGACAGGATAGGACGCTAGCATAACTGGTAGATTAACACCAAAATGATACAAGAGTAAGCGAACAATACATTTCTCCTGAGCTGCAGGGGTGTTGCTTTTCATCTGCATAGGACCAGCAACTAGTAGTCAGTAACGACATTAAAGGACACAAGCAAATGTTGTGAAAGAAGTCTCGCGATGTCACTAATTCACCCAAACAGAATGAGAAACTAAAGGCATTGCAATGGCAATGCAATTGGAATCAATCATGCAGATCCCTTTAATCAAATTCAGGTAAAAGAAATGCAATAAGAGCAAAGCAGAGAAACGGCAACCTGAATTTTGTACTTTTTCAGCCATCCAGCCCTTTCGAGATATATGAATGGAAGTCCAGACAAGAAGAAGACGCTTTCATGAAGAAAGAAACTTCCAAGACATGCCAACTGAAAATCACTGAAGTGCGTGATCAAATACTGCATCAAAAAGAAAACCATTTATCTTATAAGCTTACAGGAACACAGTATACGACCAAACAAACACACTTCCATCATCTCATTTTGAAGTTGAAGACTAATAGTTCGATAGGCACAGTTTGCAATTTACATGCTTGCACATGATACAAAAATCAGTCAAATGTTTCTTCCACTGACTAATATAACCGAAAAAACTAAAAACCCCACATGTAATTAATAACCAGACCTAGATAAACATTGGCAAGAAAAGCTTAGAGTGGTTAAAAATTGAATTAGAGAGATATCAATCTCACAATGGTCAGAAAGCAATGTAAAATCCATGACAAAAATGTTATTTTATTCTATTTCTCAAAAAAAAAAAACCGTCTCAATTGAGGCACGAAAAGATCTGGAAAAAAAAAATGCAGGTAGCTCCTCCACATTCACTTAGCTTGTGTGGTAAAGCTTCAAAAGCTATATGTATGTGTTAAAGTTCACATTGC